CTGTGGGTTTATGTTTTCATTAATATTCTTCCCCGGTCTATTTACAAGCTTTGTCTGACTTTTTTACTGTAAAATTTCACGGAGTATTTATTTAATTATAGGTATAAAATTAAAAAATAAAATTTATATATTTAAAAATTACATCAAAAGTTCTACAAAATAAGAGGTGACTAGACTATATTATTTAATCAAATAACTAACAAAAACAAGTAAAGACAGTTAGATAACTAACAAAAATGGACCATCTTAACAAATAACTAACAAAAACAGGAAGAAACGTGTCTATGACATCGTCGGATAACATGGACCATCTTAACATGGACCATCTTAATAAGTTGGTTTCTAAAGACTCAGTAATTGTTATTGATAAGCTTAATTTTGTGAAGAATCTAATTTGTGATGCATGTCAAAAGGGGAAGCAAGTAAGGGCTTCGTTTAAGTCAAAGAACGTTGTTTCTACGACTAGGCCATTATAACTTTTGCACATGGACCTTTTTGAACCTTCAAAAACTATGAGTTTAAGAGGTAATTACTTTGGCCTTGTTATCATTGATGATTAGGTATACATGGACACACTTTCTTGCTCATAAGTATGATGCACTTAATGTTTTTAAGAAATTTATTAAATTGGTTCAAAATGAACAAGATTGTCACATTGCATCCATTAGAAGTGATCATGGGGGAGAATTCGATCACGATGGCTTATATGTCGTTTGTGACAAATTAGGCATTGAGCATAATTTCTCAGCCCCCCGTACACCACAACAAAATGTCGTGGTTGAACGGGAAAATAGATTTGTTGAAGAGATAGCTAGGACTATGCTCAATGAGGCAAACCTTCCTAAATACTTTTAGACTAATTCCATGAATACCGCGTGATACGTGTTAAACTAAGCCGTCATTAGACCGATACTCAAGAAAATGCCCTATGAACTTTATAAAGGAAGAAACCCTAACATTTCATATGTTCATATCTTTGGATGTAAAGTTTTTATTCATAACAATGGTGAAGATAACTTGGGAAAATTCGATACTAGGTCAAATGAAAGATTTTTCTTAGGTTATTCATTGCGTAGTATAGCATATAGAGTGTTCATCAAGCGCACTAAGACCGAAAAAGAGTCTATTTATGTCGTGTTCGATGAATTTGATGCTCGCTTGGCGAGAAGAGGTATTGTTAAAAATATTGCAGGTTCATATGACGAGGAAGAAGAAATCGTCAAGGAAAAGGATCCGGAAGATCAGAAGAGAAAACGCAGGAGCAAATGGAGAATCCTAAGGAGTAGAGCACGTTTAAGAATCACCCGATTGACAATGTCATTGGGAATTGGTGCCTAGACCTAATGATTATTCCGTTATTGGCACAAAATGGGTGTTTTGTAACAAACTTGATGAATATAGAATAATCACTAGAAACAAAGCTAGGCTCGTAGCTAAAGGCTACAATCAATAACAAGGCATTGATTATGAGGAAACTTATGCACCGGTTACACGTTTAGAAGCTATTCGTTTAATGCTTGCATTTGCATCTTCGATGGATTTTAAACTCTATCAAATGAATGTTAAAAGTGCCTTCCCTAATGGTATCATTCAAGAGGAAGTGTATGTCGAACAAACTCCGTGTTTCGAAGATTGTGAGCTTCCCTAACATGTCTTCAAACTCAAAAAGGCAATTTACGGTCTAAAACAAGCACCTCGTGCTTGGTATGAACGATTAAGAAAATTTCTTTTGGACCATGAGTTCAAACGGGGTCAAGTCGATACTACCCTTTTCATCAAGAATGATAACCAAGACATCCTTTTGGTTCAAATTTACGTAGATGATATCATATTCGGTGCTACTAATGAGACTTTCTACAGGGATTTTTTTCCTATATGATGCAAAGTGAGTTTGAGATATCAATGATGGGAGAATTGAAATTCTTCCTTGGGCTGCAAATTAAACAATGCAAAAAAGGAACATTCGTGTGTCAAACAAAATATTGCAAGGAATTGTTAAAGAGATTCAACGTTACCGAATCCAAATCCATTGACACACCAATAAGTACCTCTTGCTATCTTGACAAGGATAATAAAGGTAAAGAGGTAGACATCAAGCGCCACTGAGGTATGATCGGCTCTTTACTTTACCTTACCGCGAGTAGATCGGATATCATGTACTCCGTTTGTATATGTGCTAGGTATCAATCTTGTCATAAAGAATCACACTTGGCTGCAAACAAGAGGATAATGTGATATCTTGCAGTCACGTTGAACGTAGGTCTTTGGTATCCAAAGGTTCGACCTGTCATTTTGTTGGCTATTCCGACTCGGACTTTGCAGGTTGCAAACTCGATAGGAAAAGTACCAATGGTACTTGCCACTTATTCGATCACTCTTTAATCTTGTGGTTTAGCAAAAAGCAAGTTAGCGTTACACTATCCACCACCGAAGCGAAATATGTCACTGCGGGAAGTTGTTGTGTCCAAATTCATTGGTTAAAACATCAACTAGTGGATTTCGGCCTTATACTTGAGCACATCCCAATTAGGCGTGACAACATGAGTGCCATTAGTCTAACGAAGAACCCCGTTCTTCATTCAAGGACTAAACACATAGAGATTACGCATCACTTCATACGAGATCACGTCCAAAAGGTAGATGTCACAATTGAGTTTGGTGAAACGAAACATCAATTAGCGGACATTTTCACGAAACCCCTGGTAGGGAGAGTTTCTTCCACATTCGGAACGAACTTGGCATTTTGGATGTCTCTATGAACTAACTCATTATTTTATTGATAATACTAATTTGAGTGTCAGATGCACAATAATTTCTTTTTTTTACAGGGTTGTTTTTCAGGTATCTCTTCCCTTGGTATTGCCTCAAAACTTTCTTTAATCAATTTTATTCCTTCATTATAATCAATTAAATATGGCTGAAGCCTGAATCAACTCCCTTTTCTTTGCTCAATTTATTAATCGATTAGTATTTGGCTTGCTAAATGATTAAATCATTCTATATAATTTTTGGGCCACGTAGAAATTATTAATTGATTAATACTTACACATTAATAGATTAAATCCTTTTGACTTACTCCCTGTGTTCGGAATTAAAGTTCTCAGTTTGACTATTCTCCATTTTTAGTAGGAGTTGACTAATGGCCTGCATTGCCCAAAACACCCCTGCTCTTCTTAAGCTTGTTTTTCATCTCAGAATCCAGGAATGAAAAAAGAACCTAATGAATTCGGACACGAGAAGAACCTTCAGCGAAGTATTTGGTGATGTTATCGTGAACCCAGCTCTGGGCGGCCGGCCTTCTAAGAGGAATTCAAGCTGCGAAGCATGGAATCGGGGATGCCCACCGTGACGTCAATGTTGGAACCGGATAGAGATTCGAGAGCTTCTGGATCTGCTTCGAAGAGCTTCACCTGGGTGATGCCATTGGCCTTGAGAATCTGCACTGCCGTCTCCGCCGGGAGAGGGTGAGACGACGCCCTGCCCCAATTCACCCCTAGGGCTTCAGTGATGGTTGGAGAGAAGGTCGGGAGGGCCTGAGTTAGAATCCATGTGAGTAATAAGCCACTCGGAGACCTGTAATTGTAAAGCAAAAATAGAAGGGGGATGGGGAAGAGAGAAAGAACCAAGAGAGAAAGAAGAAAAAGAAAGGGAGGGGGGTGGCCAGATCTGCGAGAAAAGAGGGGAGAAAGAAGAAAAAGAAAAAGGAAGAAAGAAAGGAGGATAAGAAGGGGTATTTTAGGAAAAGTGGGTATGAAAATGTAGATTGGGAACTTTATTTCCGAACGGAAAAAAGCAAAAAATTACTGCTGGGTACCCTCGATTTTGTGATAAAAACAGTCAGGCCCCATTATTTTTCTAAACATACTCTGGGGTACCTTAATTACCCGAAAAATTACCAAGGGGTGACAATCCGTCTATGCTTCCGTTACTTTCAATATCCGTTATCTTTTTCTTCTTCTTTCCTGTTTCTTTCTTTCTCGCTTTCTTTCTTTTTTTTCTCTTCCCAATTCCTATTAGAAACCACCCCGCCACCCAAATCCCTCCCCCCTTTTTTCTTCTTCTATTTTTCTTTTCTTCTTCTTTTATTATTATTATTATTATTATTATTATTATTAGTTTTATTATTTTATTATTAGATATTGTATTAGAATAGTAAAAGTACTAGTAATTGTTTTAAATTATAATAGTAATAAGTTTTAATTAAAATAATAATTAGTGTTATTTTACTTAAAAAATAGTGTAAAAAAACTACTAATTAACTTTTAATATTAATATCAAATCAAAAAATTAGAAGAAAAATAAAAAATAAGAAATATATAATAATTAATACAAAGTAATACTAAAAAGTATTGTCATTTTTATAAAAGAGTAAAGTACTAAAATTACTAATTATTTTATTTTAATAGATAATAGTATTAATAATAAGTGTTTTTTATAACAAGTGCTATTTTCCTAAATAAAAATCAATGTTATTTTTATAATAACTAATTTTAATAATAATAATAATAATAAATAGAAATAACATGGAGCAATTTATAATAATAATAATAGAATACGATGAAAATAATAATAAATACTCCGTATGAAATAATAATAATAATAATAATAAGTATTGCTATTTTTTCTAAAAAATATAGTACTAGTTTATTTCTAAAAACTGGGGAGGGGGGGCGCTCTGGTCTCTGATGGGGATTGGGAAGGTGGGAGGGGGGCTGGTACAAGAAAGAGAGAAAAAAAAGAAAGAGAGAAAGAAACAAGAAAGAAGAAGAAAAAGATAATGGATAGAGAAACTAACGGAGATATGCACGGAATGTCATCCCCTAGTAATTTTTTAGATTATTTAAGGTATCCGGAGTATATATTTAAAAAAATAATGAGATCTAGAAGTTTTTATCAGAAAAAATTGAGAGTACCTTGCATTAATTTTTTAGAAAAAAAAGCTTAATGGGAACTTTATTTCGGTAAGGGAGTACTTTTCTTTCTCAAAACCAGATCCGCAACTTCTTCTTCCCAAATCTCCTTTTTTTCCAGCGCCGAAAATTTTTCTCTCCAAACCCTAGCTTCGTTCTTCGACTTTTCCTCCTCGAATTTCACCAAATTTTTCCAAAATTCATCATTGAATGATTGAATAATATTATTAGTACAGTCTGCTGTACTGCCATTGTCCTTTGCTCGCTCACAGTAGCGAAACATTAACTTTGTTAACCTTAAATTGAAATCGTCTTGTTATTTCTTCCAAGCTTGATTCACATACAGTTCAAACTCGCCGGGATGAAAGGTTTTAGAAGGTTGATATCGCAAGCTGCGCTGTGTTGTAGCAAGAATTGGATTCTCAAATCATACGCAGCAAGAAATGGAGGTCTTCGAGCTTATCGTAGCATTCTCTATTCATCGAAAGTGCTTTCTTCATTTTCTGGTTTTACTTCGTTGAAATCAACACCTCTTCGTTCTTCGCCATACAGGACTCCATTGTCGATTATTGGAGGTCAGTTTTAGAATAAACATAGGAACTTGTGTATAGTTTATTGGGAAAAAAATCCTTATTTTAAATATAAATATGAAAAATTCAGTGGTTTAGGGCTTCTATATTTGCTGGGAGTTGATATTTCATGAGAAACCTTACTTGTATTCATTTAGATTAAGATTTAAGATTTAAATCCTCAAAACAGAACATCTTAAGTTCTTTAGATTAGATGTACTCTTTCAGTTAATATAATCGATATAGTTTTATCATTTTTCATTGCACATGTAACGAATTTTATAGTCATTGTTGGACTTGGTCTTTACTCTCCTGCCATGAAACAATGTTGTTTGAACTTTGAAGGTACTAAAAAATACGGAATATAGGTTTGTTGCATGCTAAACCTAGTGTAGTTCTCTCATTTGTGTTGTGTAAATTTAATGATGTTGCTTTGGACAGGGCAAAGAAGAACCATGTTCATACAAACACAATCAACACCCAATCCATTGTCACTTATGTTCTATCCGGGAAAGCCAGTTATGGAGACTGGAAGTGCAGATTTTCCAAATGCTCGTTCTGCAATGAATTCACCACTCGCTAAGGCTCTGTTTGGAATTGATGGTTAGCTTGCTCCCAAAATATTGCTTACCTTAGCTGTAGTCTAAAGGCTTTTTGTTTAACACATCCTTTCGACTCTCCCTATTACCAATGCAGTGAACCTGAGACCATTGTCTCCCAATGTCATAAGTTGTTTATGTATAATAGAGCAAGACTACATTAAGTTATCATGCTTTTGTTATATTTGGAATGGTATCATTCATATTTTCCGAAGGAGATAAATGCAATATAAGTTGAAATAGGTGGGTCTAGAGTGTAGGCAGAAATAGGGTTAGATGAGATCAAATAACATATCTCAACCACCCTCATAATAGTTACATATCCCAAATTAATCAGAAGTTTTCCCTAATGACATGTATAAGTCAGATAAGCTCATCTGTACACGCATTAAATTATTCTTGCTTATTTTCTTACCAGTAAACTATGAGGCTACATAAAGTGGCTTCAATGAGTTCATTGAAAATTTTGGCCATCATGCAGGGATAACACGCGTATTTTTTGGATCTGATTTTGTAACTGTGACAAAATCCGACGATGCGACCTGGGACTTGCTCAAACCAGAAGTTTTTGCAGCAATAATGGATTTCTATGCATCAGGGGACCCGCTTTTTCTGGATTCAAAAACTGCAGCGTCCATGGACACAGCTATCAAGGAAGACGATTCAGAGACAGTTGCAATGATCAAGGAACTCTTGGAGACTCGTATTCGCCCTGCGGTACAGGATGATGGTGGGGATATTGAGTACAGAGGGTTTGATGAGGATACTGGAATAGTTAAATTGAGGATGCAAGGAGCATGTAGTGGATGCCCTAGCTCCTCTGTCACCCTCAAATCTGGCATTGAAAACATGCTGATGCACTATGTGCCCGAGGTTAAAGGGGTGGAACAGGAATTCTATGAAGATGATTCCCCGGTCTTAACTGGAGCACCCCACGAGTAAATTACCTCTTATGACAAACTCTTACGTGGTCATATGGTCCATATTCAATTTATGGATCTCAGTGCATTGATATCATAAAAGAATTAGGCCGTTTACAAAAAGGAAAAAATTCTATTGCTAGTTCATAAAAAATGTGAGAAGGCCTATATTTTACATGTAGACTTTAACACCATAGAAGAAAAACTCATTTGTCATACATTTTGTTTTGGTTTTCACGTGTAGTGAAAAGTAATACTCCGTAGTACCTTGAATTATTATCATCAATCACATTGAATTGCTTGCAGGGTATATCTGATTTGTGATGAGAATAACATGTATATCAAAAATAAATCTTTCTTCCTAGTTTTTTTGTTCAACATGGGATTAGAAATGTAGAATAGGCGTCCCATTCCCTTATATCTGTTCAACTTATTTTTTCTTATTTTTTCTTATTCTTATTAAAATCAGATCAGATCGTATCAGATCAGATTCAATCAGATCTAATTAGATCAGATCCAATCAGATCAGATCAAATCAGAACATATTAAAATCAGATCCCATCAAGAATTATTATTGTTGTTGTTGTTGTTGTGGTTGTGGTTGTTGTTGTTGTTGTTCTTAAAAATGAAAAAGAATAAATTTTAGAAACAGGTTAAATAGAAAAATGAGAAAGTAATTCTTAATTATTGGACATCAGAAAAATTAGTTTTAAAATACATTGACAATGTTAATTTAATTGTACTTTTAAAATATATTTTTATTGCTACTTGTAATTTGAGTTTCTAAAGTTTTGATCTTTTATAAGGATGAGATATTTTAATAAAAGTACTATCTCTTCTATATATTGATTATCTAAATTTAATTACTTTTTAATGTATATATATAAATTAAATATTTATTCTAATGTATATAGGAAGTAATTCTTAAAATATTAAATTAATATTCTAATTTCACAAAAAATAATCATAAAATAAAAAATATTATTACATTATAATATAAATGATTATTCTAATATATGTATTAACTAATTTTATTTTATTAAAAAATATTCATTAAATAAAAAATACGGAGTATTGATTATATTATAATATGAATTATCATTACAATTTTCAAACGCTATTATAAAGTCAAATCAAAATTATTGATTTGAATTTTAAATCAAATCATAATTAATCAAATCAGATCAGATCCAATCAGATCAGATCAGATCCAATCAGCTCAGATCAGATCCAATCAGATCAGATCAGATCAGATCCAATCAGATCAGATCAGATCAGACCAGATCAGATCAGATCAAAACTTATTAAAATCAGATCAGATCAGAAAAAATAAGTTGAACGGAACGGAACCTAAGAGTATATATCATATGACTAATGTATCTCATCATTAATACTCCCTCTGTTCCACAAAACCCTACCTCTTTCGTTTTTTTGCTTTCCACAAAACACTTCCACTTTTTATTAAAAAACCACTTTTACCCATGCTTTTTCATACCCTACCTATCACATTATACTTTTTCACTAATAACCAAACTATCCATCTTACTTTTTCCCATCACATCAAGGGCAAAATTGGAAAGTCAATCAAAATTACACTTTCCTTATTTTTCCCCAAAGTCAAAACCGGAAGGGTTTTATGGAACGGAGGGAGTATAATATTCTTATCTACCTCATAGGATATACCGGCGGATTACCGGAGTAATATTTTTTCCAAGAGTACTTTTTCCATCTCAAATTAAATTGCATGTTTATTATCCATAGGGTCAAATTTTATTTATTTTTTTTTATTTTTGTTAGTAATTTGATAAAATAATAGTGAAATTTGCACTAAATAGGGCTAAAACATAATGACTTTCCTAATGTAGGACTTAAACTTTTTTATTCCCTAAATAGGACTTAATAATGACCTAGTGGAAGGAATAATGTCCAGTAATGATGGACATTTAGTTGAATAATGACTACTTAATAATGATCACAGGTCCTACATTGGGAAATAAAAACATATGGTCTATATTGGGAAAAGTCATTATGTTTTAGTCCTATTTAAGTAAATTTCTCATAATAATAATAATATATTTTTTGTTTTTTTAATTATATTCCATTTTTATATAAAATGATTTTAAAATAATTTCACTCAAACATCGTAACTGAGATAGATGATTTAAATTGGGGCAGAGGGAGTATAAAAGTTGACATTTCTTTTCTTTCAGCGTATTCATTTAATTACTCTCATTTGGTATTGTATATTAATACAATAAAATAAGAAGTGAAATATTGAAAATTTTCAACAAGATAAATTTTATGAAATCATTTTTATATCAATGCTCTCTTTGTTCCTATTCAAATTGTTGATTTACTATTTACAGGATAAAACTTCATTTACTTTATTCTTATTTTGGTACTTTTCTCTATGTTTTAGTCTTATTTAGGGTGGTTTGTAATTAATATATAAGTATACATATTAATCATCAACGTGCCCCATTAAAAATCATAAAAATTAAGTAAGATTTTTTTTCCTGTACAAGTGACAAATTTATTTTCGGATAGAGAAAAATACATTTTTTTAAAGTGAAATTCATTTAGAGTCAACAAAAAGGGAAAAAACTTTTGTTCTTACGTGGTCTACATGAGAAATGTAGATCTTCTCAGACTCTTCGTGCTGCAAGTGTATCTTTTTTTGTAGCAAAAGACTCAATTCTTTTTTGATTTCAATGCACGAAGATATATAATATGAGTATGAAATTAAACTTAATAACTACTACTACATATATGTTTTCTCAAATTAATATCCAAATTTACTAATTTCTAAGATGATACTCGTTAATTGAAAATAATACTTAGTTCCACCCTGAGTTATAATGACCGTTAAAATGGTGTTAAAACGACGTTAAGTTTTATACTATTTTTCCAAAATGATACTCTCTAACTCGGTATTTTTTCCAATTGGTCTATTTTCAAAATAAAAATATATTAATTATTAAAAAATATATTAAATTTTATAGGATTACAGTATAATACTAAAAACTATAACATAATTTTATAATTTTGGAAATAAACATTTTAGATTATTTACAATTATTTAAAAAAGTATCATGTAAAATAGAATGTTTCATAAACATTAAAGAAATCATTTTAAATACGGGTAAAACATAGAAAAAAACATCTATTTTGATACTTTCTTTGTGTTTTACTTTTATTTAGGGTGGTTTATTTGTTGATGTGTATTAAACATTTTATTTAAATGATATTCTTCTACACAATTGTAAATAATACGGAGTATAAAATATTTACTTTGAAATTTATAAAATTATATTTATAGTTTTTAGTATTATATTGTTATCCTATAAAATTAAAATATTTTTCTATAATCAATGTATTTTTATTTCGAAAATGAAATGATTTGAGAAAACACCCAGTTGGAAAGTATTATTTTAGAAAAATAGTATAATATTTAACGTCGTTTTATTGGCCATTAGTAGGAGGATTGCATTGAGTAAAATTAGCTACTCCCTCCGTCCCAGAGTATTTGTCCACTTTCATTTTTACACACCATCCAATGCACTTCTTTAATCCATTTTATCTTGTAATTTGTATATTAAAAAATTATAGAAATTATATATTAATAATCTACATGTTAAGACAAATCAAACAAGATCACACATGACTATATTTAGGCTTACACATTGAGAGAATTTGATGAGTCAAAGTGCTTAGATGAACAGTTCCAAAAGTCAAAAGTGGACAAAAACTGGAGAACGGAGGGAGTAATTTTGAAGACTAATCTAATACTCCCTCCGTCCCTAAAAACCTTTCACCTTTCTTTTTTCATCCGTCCCCAAAAACACTTCTTATTTCTATTAAAAAGTCACTTTTACCCCTTACTTTTTCATACCCTACCTATCACATCATACCTTTTTACTAATAATCTACCATCAAATTCTACTTTTACCCTCACATCAAAGAACATTTTTGGAAATTCAATACCAAAATACATCCTCTTTAAATCTCTTCAAAACCAAAATATCCCATGTTTAAAGGGACGTAGGGAGTACAATATACAATTATTAAGTACGATTATGAAAATAATACTCATTAGGGTTATGCTACACTTACACCACAAATTGTACCCCATTTGTACACCGCAGTTATACCCAAACATTTTGATGGTTTACACCGACATAAGTGTTGGTGCATTAACAAAAATTTACACGGACACAAAGTGTTGGTGCATTAATAAAAATTAGTTTTACACCAACACAAAGTGTTGGTGCAAAGCTACGAGGTACAAAGTGGGGTACAAAACATGGGGTACAAATAGCTTTAACCTACTCCTTAACTTATTAGGCCATCTCCAATGGGATGCCCAAAGGAGATGCTCAAAGGAGAGAGAAGAAGATGTTTAAAGGTGCCACTATTGGAGATGGGTGCTTAGAGGAGGTGTTCAAAGAAGAAAGAGAGTGAGAGATGCTCAAGAGAGCACCTGATGCTAGCATTCAAAATCATGTGTGCATTCTTTTATTTTTTGTAAAATAAGCTTTTTTAATAGTACACTCTCTTTTTAATGTTTTTTTTCTTTTCATTTTTGTGTCTCTTTTTTTCCCCGGAAAAAATCTTTACCATTTTTTTTATACAAACCCATTTTCCTAAGTTTTTTTTCTTTTTTCTTTTTCTTAACTTGTAGTGATACCATAAAAAATTGTTAGCCTTGGTTTGCCATAAATCTGTTTGAAATAGTCTTTCATTTGATTGAGTATGATGTGCACAAAATAAATAAATAAATAAATAAATACTCCATAAAAAAATATGACACCCTATTTTATTTTTAGTAATACCACCGTGCCTTTAATTTTTTAATCAAAATTTTTTAACAATAAAAAAAGTCATTGATAATATTTTTAATTATTTACACTATTTTTTTCTTAAAAATCTTTTAATTAATAATTAATTACTCCATATTTAACACTTGTATATATAATACAAAAATCCATAATTAATAATATAAAAATGGCATTTATATGTGAATAGGATCCACCCAAGGCATCTCAATGAGATGTCACCATTAAAAGGTTTGGATGTTTAAAGAGATGCTCCAATGCTATCTTTAAAATAAAGCCCACATTTGGGCATCTAATTAGAGGTGCTACTACTGTGGATGCTCTTAGCATGTAAAAATTTGCCCGTGGATATATGTGTCTATATAAGCATTTATACAAATTTTGAAAAACTCTTTAAATTGCTCCCACACTAATCAAATTTTATTTTATTTTGCAGATTCGAAGCACGAGTAGTAGACCTACGCCCCTACCTGATGTGATCTATGTCTAACCCATACCTACCTGTTCTTGCAACACACAAAAGAAATCATTTCCAACTAGAATTTCCCTGCGGAGGACAATGTTCAAGGCAAAGCTCCAAGAGATGTGCCAACGGTTTGGCATGGAGCTGCCGGAATACACGACGGCGAAGGAAGGACCCGCTCACGATGCCAGATTCAACACAACGGTCACTGTGAACGGATTGCAATTTCACTCCACCCCAAACAAGTGCAGGACAAGCAAGGAAGCCCAAAACCTAGCTGCCCGCTTTGCTTTTGCATACTTTTCTGCCAATCCGCCGGACCTTCATTCTTCCCCTTCCACCTCCAGACCTTCTCCCTCCAATCCTGCTCCTGCTCGACTTCCCCCTCACCTCACGGCGGATCTAGCCGCTCTTCAACCATCCCCAAGTCAGTGCTTATTCATGATAATTGCACATTTTTTTTAATGGATTTCTGTTTCTGGGTTCTCGCGAATGCACTTGAATGATTGACGGGAGGATTTGTTGTCATTTCTAGGGCTGTATTCTGAATTTTTTTTCTTGTGAATTTTCACATTTTACTTTCTACTTATTGTTATGTCAACAAATTCCCCCCCCTTACAGCCCAAGCTGCAAACTCCCAACCTGTTAGCTCCCCCCAGAGTCATCATCGTTCATCTCCACCAGAACTCTCTACAGGTCACTTCTTTTTTACTGTAATTTTACTTAATAGACAGACCAAAGTGTATTTTACATATTCTGTTTTTTTTTTTAAAATTAAAGATGATAATATCTTTATAAATTAAGTCAAATGATTCCTTATGTTTTCAGATCCTCTGGCCGGCACTCAACCTGCTCACTCACCTCTGCCTCAGCAAACACTGATGGGAGGCCGTTCACTTCCAATGTCTCCAGGTCACTTTTTTGTGTAAAAAAATCACTCTTATTTAATGAACAGAGTGAAGGTTAACTATAAATTGTGATAAGCAATTTGTTTTCTATATCAGCTCCTCACGACTGCCCCAACCTCACTCACCCCTGCTTCAGCAAAAGCAGATTTATAATCATTCATCTGCATTGGGATTCTTTCTATGTATTTTCTTCCACTTCTTTTTCATGCACAAACTGCCTTTTTATGAGCGGGGTACTATTTATTCTGATTTGAGTGAGATGTACTATAATTTATGATAAACATTTATTTTCTATTTCAGCTCCCATTGATGCCTCCCAACCCCACACGTCCCTGCTTCTGCAAACACCTATTCTGGCTACCCATAATCATTCATCTCCGCAGGGAATCTCTTCAGGTTATTTTCATATATTCGTAGTAAAATTTAATCTACTCTCATTTCATACACAGTAGAGACTCATGAACTTCACATGTACTGTTTCCGTATTACTTTAATTAGAGGTTACTCAGTCATCCACAAAAGAGCATGCAAGTATGAGAGGGATGTACAAGTCAAAATTGGCGGAGCTATGCCAGATGCATGCGTGGAAACAGCCTGAGTACAAGACAGAGAAAGAAGGACCTGATCACATGCCTCGATTTTCTGCCACAGTCGTTGTCAATGGAGTTTCTTTCGTAACACCAAACAACCTCAGTCGTTCTTCGAAAGAAGCAACAAACCTTGCCGCCCAGGTTGCCTTTGACCACCTCTCTAGCCTTAAACCAACTTTCTCCCAAGAAGGCCCCTTTCCATCAAAAACAGGTTATACTTTATTTATTAACAACTTTTTTTTGAAGGACCCTCGGCTCAAGAAAATATAACAAGTTAGGACAATCCAATATTAAAAAAGATGAACACTAGGGGTAACAAAGGCAGAATAAATGAAGGAAGAGTAAAGTCAGTAACTAACACTACCCAAATATAACAACCCACAGTAACTGATATGGGCATATGGCAATGGTTAACGAAAATGTGCATATGTGACAATGAATGTAGTTTGTTTTTGTGTGTGTGGAGGAAGGGCTCAATTGTATCAAAGTCTAGTTTTAAGAACATTTAAACTTCAATCGTAGATAGTGACCATGCTTCTAATGTCATTATTCATTGATTCAAGATCCATTCCTTTTTTTGAAAACCTTTATGATAGAAAACATATAGAATTAGAAAGTGGCATAAATTCATTAATCCAACTTAATACTATCTTACTTGCTCTTCGTTGATGTAGTTTAGTATTTGCAAATCATACATTTTAGTTTAAGAATATAGAAAATTAGTGCATAAAAATGATTGGAAACAGCCTCTCTAGTCTCTACTCTTAGTAGGGCTAAGGATTATACTGGGTTTTTGTTGTTGTAGTGCTTAAAAACCATTGACTTCATTTGATAAAACAAGAGTTTATGACATACTTGAAAATAACAAGGCTTTTTTGGCTAAAGGTTGTTTGATGGCTAGGGTGAGCAGAGATATGCCATATTGCAAAATTGTAAAACTGCACCACAAAAGCAGTGTGGTGCTATTCAGTATTTAATTTAACAACATTTCTGCAGTGTGATGCATTTTCCGCTTTTTTACATCCAGTTTACTTGTGGATTCTTAGATTTAAATTTATATTGGTATACTTGAATCTTTAATTATTTTTTTAAATCTAAATCTTTCACATTTAATCATTGAATCGACCTCATTTTTTAGAGTATAACTGTATAAGTATTTGCATTATGTGTTGATAAAGCTGAATTGAGTATATTGCGAAGGAGTATTTGTTTGGTAGGTCTAACTGATCTGGTATGGGTTGTACGTAATCTGATGCATTCCTTATAACACGAAAACTCTATCCGTCTATATGATTACTGTGACATTTTATCAACAGACTTACTAACTGATTTGGTCAGTTTTGAACTTCCTGCGAACAGGGCACAGATATATTATTGCCTGCCTGACACTGGTTTAGGAACTTTAGTTGTCTCTTATGTAGTATGCATCTTATAGGTTCTGGGAGTACGATAGAATACTTTTGGTTTGATTACTTATGTAGAATACTCTTTTTCTCTTTCGTTTGACTGAATGAATTGCTCTTCCATGCCCATTTTTGTTTTCTTTGTACGGGCTTGAATTTTTGCTATGTGTTAGTGCAGGATCCTTGGAAATTGCCAAGGGGAAATCGTGCATTCACGCCTCTCTGCTGAGCTTGAGCCCTTAATACAGACGGAGACCCTGTGGTTATGTAAATTTGCTCCAGAACACAACATCTTAGTTTTGTTTTCGGATATCTTGGGCAATTCAGTAGTAGTTCATGCCTATTTTCGTGCTTTGCAAATCACAATATATTATCCATACGTTCGAAGATCTTACGATACCTCGGGACTCCATTAAGACCTTTCACGGTAAGATGGACAAACTAGACCATGTTTTTGTGATCTTAGCCAAGCTTGATGCCTGATAGTCCCATTGCAACCCTTGGTCCCCGTTTCCACTTACCAACGAAAACATAATCCTCATTCAACCATCCATCCAGTGCCTCCTCACCCCACAGTGAAGTCATCTCGTGCCAGGCCTTGAAGTAACCCAATTTAGATTATCCCATCCTCTGATGGGTCAATAGATCCAGTTGGTTGTGTTTGCAAGGATGAAACCAATTTTATCTATTGTGTGAGTTGGCTAACCTAAAGTTGTGTTGCCCGAAAATTAGAGGAGTATTAAAGGTAGTTTCAACAGCTCTTGGCACGGGCTTCTTCTATCCCACTCCAGTTGCAGTTCACCCTATACAGTGCAAGATTGGATGAACATATCAAGCTGAAAGTCGAGTATGGACGACCACCAAATCTATCCCTTGTGTTTGGCACTCAAGACCAACCTCAAGGCCCCAATATTACCCACTCTCTCCTCGCTTGACTGGCAATCCCGCCCAAGGCCTCAACTTAACCATTCATGATGCAACCATGTTGGGAGGTTATGGGCCACAAATCATGGGATTGTGCTTCAAGCATGATGAATGCTTTCTCTTGGGTCGTAAATGTTAGCAACTCTTTTATCTTGCTTTGTAGGACATTGAAGACACAAACTCATCTAGGAAGATGTGGAAGACAAGTGTGCTGATGCAGCTTGGGCCAGTCTTATTGCATGCTCTCACTAGGCTAAAAGCTAATTGCATCATCACCACCATGCAAATTAGTATGTCTATTGGTGGTCGTCCGGTGGTAGCCTTGATTGATTCTGGGAGCACACATAAATTCATAAATGAAACTGTTGCACATTGTTTGGGAATTTGTCGTGTTCCCTTTAGGGTTTGAATGTGGCTTTTGCTAATGGGAAAAGGTTTAGGTATGTGTGACAACACTATCGTACTTGAGGGAAAATGTATCTTCACTAGTTTGTATGTCATTCCTCTTGGCATGTTTTGGGTGGTTTTGAGGGTAACATGGCTCAAGACATTGGGATTGGCATTAGTCATGATTATGCTGATTATCTTGAATAGCTCCCACATTTGTTTTATGAAAGGTAAATTTTTTTAATCCAAAATAATAGAGGATATGTACAAGGTCATTAGGGCTCCCACATTTGTTGCAAGGGCAGTAGTGGTTCCTACCCTTTCCCGATGAAGGGCTTTAAATGCGCTATTGCTGGAGTTTTGGGATATTTTTGAGGAGCCCAATGCATTGCCTCCTAGACCGTGCGATTACACAATTCGACTTGTATGAGGCGTTACTCTTGAAGTTGTTCTGATAGTGTAGAGCTATGATAATTGATAAAAAGGACAATTGAGAAACAATGTGCTTACAACTTAACCCGAGGCCTAGTCCGCCCAAGTAAGTCAACTTTTGTCTTTCCCGTCATTTACTACACATACTGGATGGGTCATGTCGGTTTCGCATATCCTATCCACTTAGCAAAATCTTAACTCAAGGATGGTGAAAGAAAAGTTTCCTAGTGACCTAGTATGATAATTAAGGAAGTGTTAGATGGACTTGCCAGGGCCAATTATTTTACTTAACTCGACCTCTGCTCTAGGCTCAGATGGTTCCAACCGGTCCGGATAAAATTACATTATGAACTCACCACAATCACTTTGAATTTTTGGTGATGTCATTTGGTCTCTTCAACACCTGTCTACATTTTAGGCACTCATAAATAAACTCTTCGGTGGAAGTTTTTTGTTTTTGGTCGAAACACAGGGATGTTTGTGTTGGCTTTCTATGATGATATTTTAGATTATAACAAGGCATGCACCGTGCCCTTGTAACACTTTTGGTTAGTCTTTAGTTGCTACGCATAAATTTCTCCCTCTTTTAAATCAATTGAAATGTGTTTGGAAGGACACAGGTGGCTATCTTGATCATGTTATTTCAAGGTAGGGCAATTTCATTGGATGACTCCAAGATTTGGGTAATCCTTGAGGGACTTCACAAATCCAGTGTTTTTTAGAAATTGTGGGCTCATCTCAGCCCACTTTTGAGCCTTTCAAAGAAACACCATTGGTATGCTAAGACTACCATCACATTTAAAACCCTCAAAAAAGACAATTCCTTGGCTCTTGTTTTGCACACATTCAATTCTCGGTCCTTTTTGTGGTGGAATGTGATGCATCAGGTGTGGGCATTGAAGTGTCGTTGCACCAGAGTGGGCACCCAATCACCTACTTTAGTAGAAAGCTCTCATTTTGCCACTCTTAGTTGTTAGCTTATGAGTGGGAATTGATAGGGCTGGCACAAGCGGTTTGTGCCATTACTTGTGGACCAAGCATTTTTGAGCTAGATGGATCACTACAATCGTAGATTCCTCCTCCAGTAGTGACTTTCTACTTTGCCCCAATAAGATTGGATGAGCATGCTTTTGGGTTTTTATTTTCAGGTCAAACTAAAAACAGAATGAATGAACTTATAAACACTGCTGCTTGCGCTTTGTCACGGCGTGATGAGATGGAAGTCTCTCCCTCTTGGATACCCTTTGACTCAACCCATATGACACTGTGGAGGACCACAATTGATGGGCAAAGACAATGACAGCGAGTCAATGACGGATGGGTCGTGCTTGGTTAAGGATGTCTTGGTTTGGTACAATGTGAAGCTATCATTACAGCCCTCACCGTCTTTATTTTTGAAGAATTTGATTACAGCCCATACTTCTCATGAAAAGGCCAAAAAGAAAATGCTTAAGTGCTTGTGTCATGAAATCTTCTGGGCTGTTTTGATGTCAATGGTGCAAAAATTTGTGTCTTAGTGTGACACGTGCCAATGACACAAGTGGGTGAGTTTGAGAGCTCCAACTTACTCTTATTACTTTTACGAGTATTATTTATTCTTATTTGGCTCGGAACAGATCATACCAAATTAGATTAGAAACAACTCTCTAATCAGGTGAAGAAAACAAGCCCTGAGTGTGACATGACTATTTCAGTCTCTGCTCCTCCTATGCAGACGTCTCAATGGATTTTATTGTTGGCTTGTCACAAGTCGATGTCAAATCATTTCAAATCATTTCCTTTTTAGGTGGTTGATAGATCCTTCTTTGACTAGTATACTTGTACTCTGTGGTCTTTGTGGCATGGGTGTTTTATTGCCAATGTATTCAAATCGAACAACTTATGAGAAATGATTGTGTGGTGGGGACCTTGTCTTAACATGTGCCTTCTAGGAGTTGTCTACTCTTAGTGGCTTGAAGCTCATGCTACCTCGGCATATTATACTTAGATAGATGAGCAGACTAAGGTGGTAAGCTGTATGATAGAGATGTACTCACAGACTTGGTGGGGTAGTGGGGTATTGGTT